GAGAGGCTGTGGAGTCTCCTTCTCTGGAGACATTCAAACCCCCCTGGCCACGTTCCTGTGTGATGTGCTCTGGGTGCCCCTGCTCTGGCAGGGGGTTGGGCTGGGTGAGCTTTCCTTTCCAACCCCTGGGATTCTGTGATTCTAATTTAGGTGAGACATGAGGAGGACATTTTTCACTGTGAGGGTGGTGAGAGCCTGGCCCAGGTTGCCCAGGGAAGCTGTGGCTGCCCCATCCCTGGCAGCGTTGAAGGGCAGGTTGGATGGGGCTTGGAGCAACCTGGGCTGGCGGGAGGTGCAGGGACAGATGTCAGGGAAGGTTTGGAACACGATGACGCCGTTAAGGTTCCTTCCCCCCCTCAACCCCTGGCGGTCTATGACGGCGGGGCCCTCCCCGGGGCCGCAGGGCGGGTCGGTGCCTCCTCCGGGCGCCCAGGGGGCAGCAGCGCGCCCGCTCCCCCGGCACTGCCCTGCCCGGCGCGGCGGCTGCGCAGGCGCACTCAGGACACCCCGGGCCCCCCTCCCCCACCCCGCGCATGCGCCGTCGCAGCCGCGGCCGCCCGTCTTCCGCGCCCCCTCTCCGATGCGAGCCCGATGCCGTTGCCTGCTCGCCCCTCGCTCCCATGGCACTGAAGCGGATACAGAAAGTGAGTGGAGGCGGAGAGCCCGGGCAGCGCCTCCTGGGGCCCCCTCTTCGCCCGCTGCCCGCGGGGGGCGCGGCGGGGCTGGGCCGTGGCCGGTGCCCCGCGTTGTTGCCCCTCCGAGGCCCATCTGAGGCCTGTCCTGCCTCTCCCCCCAACCCCGCATTCCCCCGGTTACCGGGGTCCCCTCATGGGGCAGGGGGGGCTGATGAGGCGCCGCTCCCCTCGTCAGAGCGGTGTGAGAGGGGGGAAATGGGTGGATGATGCCGGTTTCCTGACGGTTTCGGGGCGCTTCGCCTTCTTGAAAGCCCTTACCTCCCACCCCCCAGTTCCCAGTCAGGGCTTTAAAGTGCCGTTAATAAACCGTCTGAGGCGCTGTCCCCTTTAGGGCTGGGGGAGAGGCGACCTGGTGTCCAGGCGATATCGTTAGGAGAGGGGTGAGGAAGGAATTCTTCACCAAAATACCGTCCTCCGGCTGCGCGGGGCTTGGTGAGCTCGGTGTGTATAAGTTTCCTCTTTCCCACATTAGGAAGTGCGGCCAGCTCGGTGACCTTTGAGTGTGTATCTCGGCTGTGGAGGTTTGGGATAATGCTTGTACGTGGCCGGGTTTTAATTGTGGGCTAAGTTTCTAGGTGCAATTTTTGGTGTAATACTTGTACATGGCCGGGTTTTAGTTGTGGGCTAAGTTTCTAAGTGAAATTTTTGGGGTAATACTTGTACACGGCCGGGTTTTAATTGTGGGCTAAGTTTCTAAGTGGAATTTTTTGGGATAATACTTGTACATGGCCGGGTTTTAGCTGTGGGCTAAGTTTCTAAGTGGCATTTTGGGGTAATACTTGTACACGGCTGGGTTTTAATTGTGGGCTAAGTTTCTAGGTGGCTGCTGTTTGGCAGGACCCAGCTGGTCACTGCACAGGGCAGACAAAAATAGCGTTTATAGCTGGTAAACACACCAGATAATGTTGGTGCCCTGGCCGTGTTATAGCGTGAATAGGTGGTGTTTGTTGCTGCTGACACGTTGCCTTGAGTCGGTGTTTGTGCTCTCCTAGTGTAGTGACTGTGCTGTCACTTCTTGTTGTGAATTCCCTTTTGCTATTGAAAAATCCTCCTGCTGCAGCAGGAGGGTTGAACTTCATGATCTTCAGAGGTTCCTATGGTTCTATGACTCTGTGATATTGGTGTTACAGAAAGAGAATTCTATAATGAACAGTTAACACCTCAGCGAGCTAATTTGGAGTGCCCTACCATAGATATGAAGTTATTTATACTTGCCTACCACAAGTTGGTTTTTAGGACTCAAACTACAAAGCTTAGTAGACTTATCATATCAAATATTAATAAATTAACTATGGTGATTTTGCTCTAGCAGTGAGTTCTGTCACACTTCCACTTATCATGGGCATGTTTTGTGTTTTCTGGGCTTCTTAAATTCCTACTTTTGGGTGTCTCCTTACCCTTGAGTTTCTATAAAGAGGATTGTCCTGCATACCTTTTCTTGCCTCTTGTTTAGTTTCATTCTGCTAAAGTAAACAGACAAAGAGCAAGTGGAAAGCCTCGTAGTCTTCTAGTATTTCTGAGGTGGAGTGGTAGTTTGGAAAGTTAAAAGGAAGGAGAAGGCTTGAAAAATCAAACTCTCTTGATGTCAATGTAATATATGGAGCTGAAGATTATGAAATGTATTTGTACAATGGTATGTTTATCCTATTAAGCTTCTTGATGTTTCAAACTGGCTTCAAGGGTTGATAGCTCTGTTGTATCTGGAGGGTAGGAAGGGATAAGATCTGGAGTAGAGGGAATGCTGTAAGGAGCTCAGAGCTCACAAAGTGCCCAGAAGGACTCTTTGGAGAAGAAAGTGTTGTCAGAAGACACAGTGGTATTTTTGGGTGCTTGTCAGTCTAGACATACTGTCTCAAGTTAAGCTTGGATGGTTTTAGGGTGGTTCAGAATTTGTACTTTTAACACAGCTGAGGGATTCTGATGGCAAGTTTGAGTGCTCACAATCATTTTGGTGGTGCATGTGTTCAGGGTGGCTGTGTCTGCAGAGGAAGCAAAACTGAGACACGTGGAAATGTTTGTGAGCATTTTTTGGCTCATACCATTTGAGACTCCAGTTCCTAGACAGTATTGCCATTGTGCTCTGTGTGGTTTCAGCCCATCTCCCATGAATCTGCCTGGAGGCACTCCTCAGAGGAGGACAGCCTGCAGACTTCATGGGTGTACACTAATAGTGGAAGGATGTCTTGTCCTTGGGAGCTTTCTGAAGATACAAGCAACTGAGTAACGAACAAACAAGTTGATCATTGCACATAAGTGTATCAGCTTCATTGGTGGGAGGGTGGAAGTGCAGTGAGGACAGGAAACCCTGTGGTATAAGCACAGCTGTCAGTGCCACCTCCATGGCAAGTTCACTTTGGAGTTCTTGGAATGATGAGGGACTCCTGCTCATCTACAGCCTGTATTAGTTTACCTTGTCAGTGCTTTACTCTGCTGTGCCATAAAAGAGGGACAGTGTCTCTGCACTGTCAAAAACTTAAGGCTGCCCTCTGAGGTAGCACCAATGTTCCTTGGGGCAGCAGTTGCTTCTCTGTAGTCTGTGATGCACCAGTGAAATAATAACCCATGTTTCTGTGGGCATCGTGAATTCCAAATGTTGCAAATTAGGGGAACAAAACATTTAGTGGCAGCTTCAGTTGGAATGTTCTGCAAAGAAGCCTTCGTTGTTACCATGACTGGAAATGGAGGAGACAGCATGGCTTTTGTGAAAAATAGGAAATAATGCAGGCTGTCAGGTTTTATAAGTTTGTGTGTATGTCAGTTCTGCCCACTGGCCTGGTGCAGAACCATTTTCTGAGATTCCTGGTCCAAATCCTGTGTTTACATAGCAAATTGCAAGTTTGCTGTCCTGCCAGCTCAGCATCACAGCTGAGGTAATTGCTTTCATCATAAATCCTATACTTCATTGTAAGGATGGGTTGATGTTATGCTTGTAAAAGGCTCAGGTTATTTGGAAATCCCTACAAACCCAGTATCTACTTTTGTTACAGGCAAACGGATTTAGAAGAGATTTTGAAACCAGTGGCAAACTATTTTCTGACACATTTGAAGACTGGTTTAAAAATAGCTATTGGTGTTTTATCTTGGTGGTGCATAGGACTTGATTGTTTTCCTCTCACAACTCAGAGGGAACAGAAGTATTCAAACATTTAGATACCCCAGTGAACTATGTTTGTTCTGTATGCATCGACCAAAAGGGCATAGAGACTTGAATATTCATGTTGAAAATAACTTTTGTGACTGTAAATTGATTCAGGAGGTAAGATTTTATCAATATTCATCATTCAGATTTTGACTTTAAACCATGGAGTCACGTGCTGTATTTGGATGGCAGTAAAGATGATTAAGATTTGGATTCATAAATTGAATTGTTTCAGTTTGCTTTCAAAATACTAGCTGTGTTATCAAAGCAATATGTATTTTTTTCTTTAAAACAACGTATAAAAATATATTCTTTATTACTAAGAGTTAATTTTATATGAAGAAATGTTATGATGAATGCTTGCTCCCCATTTTCCAAATTTAGAAAGAGCAGACAATCCTTTAACTAGTCTAAGTATAATCAATGATGTTTTCTTTTGACAGGTGCCTCCAAACCTTGCTGTAATAGCAGCAGTGTATTCATGGAGTTAATAGGAAGTGAATCTGGTCTGCAGTTCTTTTTGGGCAAGTGTCCTGGTTTGGGCCCAACATGAGGACAAAGAACCAGCCCCATGGCTGCTCATTCAGGCAACTCCTCCCTCACACACACAGTCTGGAATGGGGAGGACAAAGCTCATGAGACAAAGGACAAGGAGGGTTCTTCACTGATTAAGGTTCTGGGCAAAACAGACTCGGCCTGGGAAAAATAAAATAATTTAATGTCACACTAATCACACGCACACAGGACACAGACACACATAGAGCAGTGCTTGCATATGTTACCCCACCCCTCCCTTCTTCCCGGGCCCAAATCACTTTGTTCCAAGTCCACTGGCCACAAAATCCAAGTCCAGTGGCCGTGTTCACCCCTCCTGGCACCTTCAGAGAATGTCCCACCACGTTCTTCCAGGAGTGCAGGGGCACAGCTGCCATCTCACCATGGGTTGCAGGGAAACTTCTGTTCGGGCACCTTCTTCCCCTTCTTCCTCGCCAAGCACCAGGATCTTCATCCCAGCACTCCCTTTCACTTCTTCAGCTCAGCTCTTCTTTTTCTTTAAGTGTTCCTCTGCTCAACTCTCACGTCGGTTCTTTTGTTTGTTCATGGCAGAGGAGCATCTGTTGTCCCTCTGATGGCTCCTTGGCTGGTTGGAGCAGGGGGAGCTTCTCAGCTTCTTACTGGAGCCACCCCTGGGGCTCTTCCCCCGCTACCAAGAACCCACCAAACCAAACCAGAATAGCAAGAAATTTAGAATTTAGCTGGCAAACAGAAAACCCTGTGTTTAAAATTATGGTGTGGAAAAGAGCTCCGGTTGTGGCTTTATGTCACTTAGAGAATTCAGATAGCTTTTGGTGATGCTGCCTGCAGTTTATTTTGGTCTTCTGATAGTCTGCAGTCTTTTTTTTTTCTGAGTGTTTCCTTTTTTAAACTGAAGGAGACATTTTCAGGGTTGTTTTTTTTTGTTAGTACTCATGCTCATAGCCATGGGGTGTCCCTGAGCACTATGCCCAGAATATTTATCTCCTTGTTATCCAACTATCCTTTACAATCTTGTTCCAGTAGCTTTTTTAGGAGAGAAACCTGTCTGCTCATGAAGCATATAAGTGTTAAACTGACCTTGCAGTCTTCACCAACTCTATTCTTCTATGAAATATATCCTATATTACATTTTGACAACGAGTCTGCGCATTTCCAGCTTTTGTAAGTGTTTTACATCTGTTAAACCTGTTTTTGATATTTTTGCCTCAGGCTGGGCCCAGAGCTATTCTACAGTGTGAGGTGCAATGAAAGGTGGTGATTTGGAGGCTTTGCTGTCTCCATCTCCAGTAATTGTTATTTAGCATTTGTAGGTGACACTAGTAATGGCTTTATTAGCTGCACCTCCTCATGCATCCTGCAGACCTCTGTGCTCTGCTGCTGTCCTGGAGTTACAAAGAGGTGCTGGAGCATCCATTCATTACAACCACTGAGGGGTATAGAATTAACAGTATTCTATTCTACTCTCTAATATTTCCTGTATTTGGGAATATTAGAAAATGGATTCCTACCATTGTCCTCAGCTTTGCTGTTTTCTCTGCACAGGCTTTTCCTGGCTGCACTGGGATAGTGTGCCATGTGTTGAAGCTCTTTGTAGATGCCTTTATGCTTTGACATTCACCAGGCCTTGAAGTAACTGATACTTATGTTTTCAGCTCTTGCAGGCAAAATCGTGGGCTTGTGACTTCTCATACCAGTCCTTGCACTGATGGACACTGCAGCTTGGAGTGTTGACTTTCTCTTCTGAAACCAAACCTGCAGTGCTCTGAGCTCTAATCCTGCTGTTAGCCTGCAGACATCAAAGTCTTGCACCAACATTTTCTAACAATATTGATGTAGACAAGGCCTTGAAGTAACCAGACCTGTATCGTGCAGCCACATAATGATAATCCATAAAACATGGACAAAACTGCTGGAAACAGTTCGCTTAAAACCCTTAGTGTTGACCCTGTGATGCCATACATGCAGTTCTCTTGCACTTCTTGGTGAGGCTTCAGCACATGGTGCTTTGTAACTCTGCAGCCTTGCTTGACACAGCAAGGTTTTGGGCTTCTTGTGAATAGCATCTTTACTGCTTTGAATAGAGAATTCTTATATTCAACATCTTGTTCTTCTGCAAATATATCAAGTCATGAAGAACTTCTACACTTACTCTAGGGAATCATCACAACTGTTCTGTAGTGTTCATCTTTGGACACTGGCAAGTCATTCTGACTTATAGAGGACAATTTGACTGTCCTTGCACCATTTCAAAAGATGTAGTAAAGCTTGAAGCCTAAATCTTAACAGCTCTCCAGATAACTTTGCTTTTAATATGAAGCTTAAACAGCACAACTAACAGTATAAAACTCAATAGTTCTTTGCTGATCACAGCTTTATCTGAGCCTGCCTGTAAAGGCTCAAACTCTTAACACTGTCAAATGCAATTTACCAAGTTCGATCTTTTTACCATTTGTGTAGTTAAACCATATTAGCTTTAGTACGTTATTTCTTATGTTTGGAAAATATGTCTTGAATTTGCTCTGTCAGACTTTTGAAGTCTGGTTTTATGTTCCCTAGCTGCAAAAGCTCTCTGAATTGTATCAGTTTCACTTTCACCTCTTGGAGTTGGTTGAAGAGAGCATTTTCATCATTATTAGGGAAATATTAATAACAGAAGTTGATACTTCTCGTCTGATTAAAAGCAAGTGTTTTATCATGGACAAATTTCAGTGCCTTTAGCCTGAACAAATTGAAAGTGGGTCCCTGAGGAGCCTGTTCCAATTCCTACCCATTCTGAAGTACATATGTACATAGGAATGAAAACCAATTTGTGTGAGTTGTGGGTGTGCTAAGCTCTCAAGGAAAGCATCTAGCAAATGAGAGTGCTGGTACAGACTTGCAACTGCAAAATACATGCTTGCCTAGCACTTTGTATATGCATTAAGGAATGTTTGCACATATTTTTAGAGACCTTCTGAAGAGCCTAAGCTGCATAGTTTTCCCATCATTGTTTTTTAGTCTGCCATGATTGCTATAAAACACATGATTTTCAGTTCTCTCTTTTGGCTAACAATCTTGTGTAGCTGCCTTTTTTTACTGTATGTCTTAAGACTTAATCTCTTGTTAGATTAGATCTTGAGTTGCAAATTAGAGTAGACAGTGGCTGTAGCTGCTCTGCTGCTGGTAATTCTTGTTTACAACTCTCATGACTCCTGGAAACTTGAGACTTGTTGACTCCCTTCGGGTACTGGCAGGGGCTTGGCTTTGCATAGGGTGCTAGTTCTCTGTATCACTCCCTCACTGAAATGGGAATCCTCCTATTACAAAGGGAACTGCACTTCTAAAGGGTTTTGCTGTTGCCTTTACTCAAAGTCTAGGCCAGAATTTTGTTTCTGGACCAAGATACAATTTCACCAACAGAATAATGTTTGAGGGTGGACGACGCTGTAGTTGGCAACCTGGAATATTGCCATATATATCAAGAACTGTCTCATTTGAAATCACAAAGGTTGTGAGGAGTAACTTCAGAGCAAGCAGTGCTATTACTTCTCTGTTACCTGACTGAAGGTGTGTTGCAGTACCTTTCTTTGAACTCAGGTCCAAGAACTGCGCCTCTAAGAAGTGTGCCTGACTTGACCTGCCAGGTCCATGGTCAGCTGGGTCCCTCCAAGACAGAACTGTTTGAGCTGAAATGTTTGCTGGGTGTTGTCAAGGGGTAAATATATCACAGCAGTTGAGAAGTGCAGAGTTTTAACCCTTTTGGATCACGCTACAGACACAACTTCTACACTGGAGTTAAACTTAAGTTGCAGTTTAAAGCTTGATTTTGGAATTTGTCTTGACTAATGATTTTTTGGTAGAAATGTTTCCATTGTTACTCCACCAGCTAAATTCAAGGAAATATTTGCAGAGCTGCTTATGTCTATTGTTAACTTAAATGTGTACATTTTGAGTAATTAGTTGCCTGGCTTAGAAACAGTGGTTTAGCACACATCTTCTGGCTTGTTTCAATAGAAGTATTAACACATAATCATAAACTTAGCACAGTTCCTATCAGCTTAGAATTGGAAAAAATTGTTTGTTATTAGTGGAGTGAAATATCAGGCATGGAAAGTAGCATATTGAATGAACCAATATTAATGCCTGGCTTGTTTTGCCCTTGACACAGTGATGATAAATCAGATGGAAGGTTGAGCTGATTTTGTGTAATTAAATAATAACTTCAAATTATTTGTGGCTCTGTGGACTTGTGTAAGAGAAATAAACCAGTTGACCTGCAGAAGCTTCTCCAAATGCTGCTCTTAAATTTCAGCTTTCTAGGAAAAGCAAGTTTAAAAAGCCTGGAGGAAATGAAATCAAGATATGTGAAATTAGGTGTGGAGAGATTATTTTCCTTTGTTTTCTGCCTTTCTTAGGGACCTTTGTTATGTTCATCTGTCATCTCTAGGCAGATTGCAAGCGTTTTATGACTTAGTTTAACTCAGCTAGTGTACATAGGCTAGGCCAACACAAGAAGCTTTTGTGAAATCAAAACTGAAGGAGCAGAATAGCACATACATTTCTAAATTAAGCAGTGAGTTTGCAGGCAGATCAAGAAACCTTTCATTTTCTTCTCTTTTTTCTATGTCTACTTTGGTATATCCAGCTTATTCTGAACTTGGCTATAACTCCTAAATACTCTCAGATACTAATTTGTAGCACAGTATTGTCTTTAAGCTGCAGACCTCACTGGCAAAAAATCCCCTTTCAGTATCAGTGGGCATCTCAAGTGGTGTTTTCTTTAAAAATGCCACAAGTCTATTTAATCAAATCTGTTTGTGTTCTCACTTTTGAAGTGGTGTCTGTTTTCATGTTGATGGCTTTCAAATACTGGTGTGTTTCTCACAGGAGCTAAGTGATCTGCAGCGAGACCCCCCAGCCCACTGCTCTGCTGGACCTGTTGGAGATGACTGTAAGTTTGTCATTGTACATTGTCACAAGCGACCCCTTCTGGTTACAGAAAAGCTGAGAAAAATCTCTTTAATTGTTGTATCTTTTTGACTTTCAGTGTTTCACTGGCAAGCGACAATTATGGGACCTGTAAGTATATAACTCGTGCCCCTTAGAATATACACCTGGCTTCAGAAGGGTATATTTGGATTGCTGTAAGCATGACAGTCAAATTCAGCTGTGCTGGGTACAGATTAACTGTTTAGTGTGGTGCTGTTCTTAGTAGTCTGAGACTAGTTTCTCTCTGTAATGGTTCAAATATCTGTCTCCATGAAGCTAGAGGTGCTTAGTCAGCTGCAGTGGCTGAACTGGTGATGTGGGCTGCAAGGTGAAAAGCTTGCTTTTCATAGATGGTAATTTCAATTCTGGAAGATTCACCCATCAGAAAGGAGGAAGAGTGGGTGTAATGCAATGTGGAGTTTGGTAACTGTGAGCAAGGAGTTGCACAGTGTGAATTTGGGGCTTTTGGAGCTGATTGGATGGCTGTGACATAGCTCTGACTAAAGCAGAAGGGTTTTGCAAACTGTAGAGGAGCAATTGTGGGCACTTACGGTTTCTGTGTGAAAAAGGCCTGCTTTCCTTGGCTTGGGGGGGATCTCTAAAAGACCCCATTTATGACTCTTGTCTAGCAAATAACATAAGAAAGAGCAATAATAAATACGGACATAAAACAGGACAATAAAGCTTAAGAACGGAAGAGTTTAAAGGAAAACTGAAAAGAGTTTTAGCAAAAAGAATCAAGAACAAGATGTCCTGAAGGAAGGGGTGTTGATTGATAATCATGGTAAGAAGTTTGTATCCCTAGTGTTTTCCTTTTGGAATGAAGAGTTTGGAAAGAGGAGTCTGTGTTTCAAATGGTGAGTTGAATGACTGAGAGGTGAAGTTTTGAGACAATGCATTAGGATGCAGCATCACATGGTGGAGAAAGGTGGAACTGTGAAGCAGTGAGAATCAGTTCCTGATCTGCCAGTGGTATGCTGGAGTCTGTTGTCCAACTTGTCCATGGCCCAGCAGCAGTGGGATTTTTCTCTAGAATACTAATCCTTTTGCCATTTTTCTTTAAAAACACATACAAAGTTGCTCTGCATTGCTTGAAGCTAAATGGCAAAACAGCAAAGTTCAGAGTTAACAGAAGCTTCCATGCAGATTGCCACCAATAATGTCTTTGTTTCCAGTGACTCTGATCACCTGAGTAAGGGAAGAACTAGTACCTAAATCCTGACTTAAATTCCATTGTTTCTTCCAGCTTGCAGTTCACCTTTCATATTCTGCACTGGAAAATACTCTTCTCTTTGCTTTGGGTTCCTCAGTTTTCTCTAGTTAAGGATGAGCATCTCTTGCTGACCTTTCTCAGCCATATCTGCTGAGAACACTGTCAGGATATTGGTCTTTTATCTTGATAACACAAGGAAATAGGGATATCCATCCTGTGCATTTCCTGGTGGCCTGAGGGAAGCATAGGACTAAAGTTTTATCTTCAGAATTCACTCCCTAGGTGTAGAAGCAGAGTAACCTCTTCTCCTCTCTGTGGGCATCATCACTTTGCTTTATATACCTTACAAAACATACTGTGACCTCACTTTGCCTTCTGTCTGACACGGGATGTGTCTCATCTTCAGCTTATTTTAACTTTGGCAAATCCAAGCAGTCCTTTCAAACCTCCTGGGAAGTTCTGTGGCCATCTTTGCTGGTGTTACCTAATGCTGACTCCCTAGCAGTACTATATATAACCTGCCTCACACTGCAACACTTCATTTGGAATAAGATGACATGACTTAGTGGACCCCTTGTGACTTTACTTCCTGTATTCATCTTTAAAGCTGTAATTTTTTCTCATTTCCAAGGTGAATATTTTATTTAAAAACAGTTTGCCTTTGCTTCCCTAAGAAATCCCAAAAACTTGGTATTTTGCAGCTTTGCTGAGATTGGATTTCTGTGTTGCTGTTTTAAACTCACCAAGTAATGAGAGAGGTTTTCTTCTTCTTCTTCCCTTAATCAGAAGTGGGAGCACTGCTTCCTATCACCTAACAGTGAGACTTTACTTCCCACTTCTCTAGCTAATAAAAAGGAAAGCTTTCCTCTACAGAGGGCTGCAAGAAGGTTATTTCTGTTACCTGTGTGCAACCTAGACATAAACCTGTGCACATGTTCTCTAAGAAAATGCATGTTCACAGGTTTGTACAGGTCACAAAGATGTTGTGTGTTTTAAAACTTCCCTGATGTCATCATGCTGAACTGAATTATGTTGGAAAATCCCACTCTTCCTACTTCTTACTCTTCCTACTCTTAGCTTCTTAAGGTAAGTATATTTGTAGCTTAAGGATGGAGGAGGATCAGAGCAGCTGTGGTGTTGCAGGGAGACAGGATTTGGAAGATCTGCTCCGGGTTTTGTGTTCCCCTTGGTGAGGTGGAGCTGAGCTCCAGGAGTGCCTTGCAGCCCAGATAGTGAGGAAGGGAGCAAGTTTAAGCTGATGGATCAGCAGTTTTGTAGCTCCACCAGTCCAACACTGCTCTCTCCCTCTCTCTCTCTCTCTCTCTCTCCCCCACAGAAGGGCAGCACTCCAGAGCCATGTTGGTCTCCTGCAGAAGCAGCCATGGTTGGTTCTACTGGATCTCCACAGGCCACTGGGAAGCTTCAGTTCCCTCTGTGCCTTCCCAGTACACAGTCCATACGGGGCTGTGGCCCATAGCACGGGCTGTGTACTGGGGGAGAAGGGATGTTTAAGGATACACACAGCTTTAGGAAGTTACCTGTGTTCAGAAGGGAATCTCCAAAGTAATTTAAATAAATATTAATATTTTGTTTTGTTTTTTTCCCTAGCCTGATAGTGCATATCAAGGGGGAGTTTTTTTCCTCACGGTACACTTCCCAACAGACTATCCTTTCAAGCCACCAAAGGTAAGACTTTTCCCTCAGAAGTTATGCAATGTTTTGTTTCTTTGCCTTAGTTGTTTCTTAATTTTGGAAGCTAAAAGCAGAAAAGCCAGCAATAGGGTCCATGTTCATAGCAGGTGAAGAGAAGACTACAATAAGTTGTTGGCAGATGGAGTATGACTGGAGCTGAAGGGACAACATTAAGGATTCCAGATGCAAGAGACAGCATTTTATGATACTTGAGGTTTATTTATTTCTTTATTTTTTGCTTCTAGATTGCTTTTACAACAAAAATATACCACCCAAATATAAACAGTAATGGGAGTATTTGTCTTGATATCCTGAGATCCCAGTGGTCACCAGCTCTGACTGTATCTAAAGGTAAACTCACAGATTTGCTGATCAATGTGTGGAGTTGCTTACACTGTCATGGCACTTCCCTTTTCCTGAGGGGTGGGAGTGGGAACTCATCCTGCATGTTGCAGAAGTGGCAAATTCCATTGGAATTGGTGTAATGATCTTGCACAGTTTATTCAGCGCCAGGTTGCATAAAATAGTATGTGCACAGCAAAGACATGTAATAAAACAAGTTGGGGAGATTAATAAGTGTCCAATTAGCCTGAAATACGACTTCTGTATTATAGTAGACTGTGCATGCAGAACTGAGGAGAAACTGGTGAGTAGAGCTTAAAAATCAAATTAATTAGGATGTAAGTGGAAAACCCTGATACGTGAGGTGTGTGGACTTACCTGGTAGCTCTTTGGGGTGTCTGAGCATCCTTGTGTGGGCTAAGGTTTTAATTACACTGTAATTTAAAATTAGTTTTCTTCTGCTTCGCATTCCTCTAAGATGATTCCTTTGAAACGCAGCTGCTTCCAAAGTAATCAGTAAAATATTTGCTAAAATATTCTGCTCCTATAGGTAAACTTTCTCAAGTTGGGCAATTGCTTTTTGGAACCTTGAAGTCCCAGCTAAGTGATTCATTTGTTGCAGGCAGTTTGTGTCACTTCAGAAGCTGCTTAAAATGGGGGGTGCTGTCACTGGTTTTCCTTAGCCATCTCCCAAGATGCTTGGCCACACTCTTAGACATAGTACAGACAGTTCTCATGGATCACATCTTCCTTATTCCTTGAGAGCTCCATAAGCTACATGTCTGTTTTTAGAACGTTGTCATCACATGTTAGTCCTTGTCCAGGGGAAATGGTTCTATCCAAGTGCATAACAACCGCTGCAGGAATTGCACAAGCTGGATACAGTCCAAGCTTCATGCTTTTTCCTAGTGGTGTTGCTGAAGACCTGGGTTACTCTTGGGTGTAGTTGGTGTCACCTTTCCACAGAAATGAGTTGGTTTATTGCTGAGCAAAAATGGTCTTGTTTCTAGTTATTTAGAAGGTATTTAGCTAACAGGAGTTGGCACTTGTGTTTAACAGTTGGCATTTACAACTGAAAACTCTTAAGTTTTCAGATTTTCAGCACTTTTCTGTAAGTCTCTTGTTGAGTGTTCCTGTACTTATAAAGAGGAGCAGTCTGGTCTTATGTGTTCTGATTTGTTGTGTTTGCACATGATATGTTTTTTAAACTGGAAATCAGCTCAATGGCTCATGGATGTTTCTCCTTGATAGCTCTTGTTCCACTGACTCAGAGGATTACACCTCTGCTTGGTGTGACCAAGTATTCTAACCTGAGTTCCTAATATTGCTGTTGTATTTGGCACTTAATAGAATGAAACATGTCAGTATGAAGTGGTTGAACTTGATGCAGCTGAAAAGAGGTGTAAGTCTGGGCTCTTCTGTAACAAGACAAAGCAAGGGGAAAATTCTGTTCTACAGCAGATTCTTGCTGGAGCCTCAAATTCCCTTTCACAAGATGTTTAGGGTTGTAGAGGTTGTGAGTTCTCTGGTCTAGCATTAGGTGTTGTTTACTTAGGACCTAGAAAAATGGTGCTATATAAGCATTTCTGAGCAGAACTGCTGTGCAAAAGCTGAAACTAACACACATTCTCTTTCCAGTCTCTCTTCTACCACTCTCCTTCAGGGTACTGGACTATATTAAATGGTTGTATAAATAAAGCAAACTGACTTGTTTAATCTTGTGTCTCTTTTGTTTAGTTTTATTGTCCATATGCTCGTTACTCTGCGATCCTAATCCTGATGATCCTCTAGTACCAGATATTGCACAGATCTACAAGTCAGACAAGGAAAAGTGAGTATAACATATATTCTTTGTGTGTGGTTCTTGCAGATGGTTACCTGCTATGTCATCTTCTATCTTAACTTTTAAAGAGACTCTTTTCATAGATTTCTACAGGATTAGATTTTTAAATCCTGAGGGCACCCACCAGTGGCCTGGCAAGCAGGAAACTGGAGGCTGTGGGTGTTTTGAGCGCAACCAGCCTACATTATGGCCTGAGCTGTCTTCTCTAACAGGGTTAATTAAGGCTCCTGTGGATTTCCTAGGTGTGTGTGGGATGAAGAAAGGCTGAAACACAAGGTTGGTTTAGGATAGTAAACAAGGAATAGGAGTCTCTAAGGTTTTCCAATTACATCTGGTCCTAATTTGCAAGAAGGGAATAACCTTCCCCCAAATTAATCTGTCAGAGATTTTGTGGTGGCTTTGACAATCCAATGAATTGGTGCGAGCCACACAGCACATTCATAGCCAGCCTGACTTTGTCTGGTGACTTCTTCAAGCTGTGGAAGAGGTTATGGGTTTGGTTTGAGGCAGGCTTTTTATCCTTGGTACTCAAGCTGTTTTTTGTTAAACTTACTAATAACTATTTTAATTATTAGACAATCTGCTTCCGATTCTGTGGGGTGTTTGTGATATCCAGGAGAATTTGTGACTGTTTAACTGAGGAAATTGCTTGGTACCTTTTTTTTGAGTACTGAGCCACTGAGGACTGGTTGCAGTGCATGCTAATGGCCTGTGTTTCATCACCTGCCAACCACAGCTGCAGGAAGATCCCAGTATTGCTTTTACCTGAAGGACTGGATAGAGGAAGGATGTGGAAGTTACATGGAAGCCTGTGGTCTAGTATTTCTCTTCCCTAGATTACTAGAATGGCTTTTTTTTTCTGACAGTTTGATAGAAGCAAATCATGTAACTCGCTTCTGAAGTGCTGGAGCTCTGTGGCTTCTGCTCCCAAGCAGTTCACTTGAAGATGTGGTGCCTCAGCTTCTGCTCATTGGTATCTCAGCTTTTGTCCATCCAGTTAATAGTCATTTCAGCTGTTGTGCCTCCTGCTTGTGAATCACAGAAGGTTAGAGGTTGGAAGGGACCTCTGAAGGAAGTGAGCAAGGGATATTTTCCTGTTTCTAAAACTTGACATGTAGTCATTGCTGGAGAAAGTGAGTGAACATGTAGTCTGGACTGTAGCTTTACCATCTTACACTGATTTCCTACTACATACTTGAATCTCACCTTGGATTTAGGAAATTAAAAATATGTCTGGTTGCCCCTGAACGTTTATCTATGAGTATTTTGCTCTTCAGTAAAACTCCAAAACTTGTATGGTAACATTATTTTTGAGCAGAACGACAGTTAGTACGTGAGTTGCTATACTGATCTTAAGAAAAATCTTGTCACCATTTTCTCTGGAGGACTCAGAAGAAAGTGAATGTGGCTGGAAGAGTGGAATATAACCAATGTGAGGGCCAGAGGGACAGTTCCTGGTTTTCTAAAGACATTGACATGTGGGAGTGCTGGTCAGCTTCATACCAGAAGGAAAAAGACATAAAACTTAAAATCTAGTAAAAATGTTTTTCAGGAAGTTTTTCTTTCAGGTTCTGAAATGCAGAATGGAGAGTTAAAAAAACCACTGTGCCTTCTATCCCCACCCTTTCCATATCTAGTTGATGCTACTGAATTTTATGCAAACTAAAATGTGTGAATTTTGTCAGTGTTACAGCACACACATGCAGGAATAACTAGGTACTAATAAGGGAACCAGTTGTGAAATGTTAATTAAATATGCACAACAATACACATTTTAATCCAATCCTGTGAGACTGTTTTGATGGGTAACTTTAGAAACTGAACATTCAGTGGGCATGTGTTTCTTGGCTTTTAGACTGTTCTAGTGTTATTTGAGTCAATGCTAAGAGGTGAAAATCTCATGACATCTGTAGGAAGTGACTGTGTGGCCTTTGTCACAGACCTCACTAACAGCTCTTCACTCTGGTGCCTTCCCTCTTGACACACAGGTACAACAGACAAGCAAGAGAATGGACTCAGAAATATGCAATGTAGACTTGTGAAGACTTCCTCAACTACCACAAGTACTGTAAACTCAAAAGCAGCCAGAGCACAGTTCCTGTTCCAGTGTGTCATAATGTCCCTTGAAATTGTTTTCACCCATGTAAGTGTGTTTCTGGAGCAAGGGCGAATAAACTTCTGAAAAATAACCTTCTGACTGTGATGAGAATATTGATTCTCTTTCTGTGCTTTGCAGAAGACATTTATTATGGTTTTTAGGAGTTGGACACATGCATCTTCAGACTACAAGATCCATAATGCAGTTGTAAAGCAACCAAAATCTTTTTTGCTGGAAAAAAAAGTAGTTTGTTTTTATGTGATGAATACTGTATGTGTGTCCTTTGAAGTATGTTGTCTGTTTCATAAGTGTGTTCAGATTTCATTTTGTTAGTTCACTTATCTAATTTGTTTGGTTGTTGTTTTCTTATTTTATGGTATAGACTAAATATTTTATTTCATGTTAGACTGACTTCCTTGTGCACAGTATTGACAAGATACAACTGCTAGTGATGGAAATGATTGGAGTATCCCACACAACAGGATATTCTAAAGACTGCAGATTTCTTAAAACCTAAAATAATCTTTGCACTGTATTTCTTTGTATGCTGATGATGGTGAAACACTTGGTTTGGATTCTGTTGCATACTTAATTTTATTGCAATGTGAACTAATTGCACTGCTTTGTAGAAAAAAATATGTAACCGTTTTGTTGCTATTCACACCTGATTTTTTGACATGTGGGCAACATAACACTATTACAGACCTTTACAAATCTAAATGTAGCCTTTTCCATAGAAATAAAATGCATTTTCTACTACTTGTCTTGGCTTTTTTAAAATAAGGCATATCCTTAAAGTGCTTGCTCTAACATGAGAGAATCACAGTCAGTCTGCATGTGTCCTTGTAGACAAAAAGGAAAAGAAAGCCATGCATCATCTACTACTTAGAATGGTATTGCAATTAATTTTTATGCTAGCTTTAGCTAATTGGTTTAGCATGCTGTGCCCATTGTTTTACATAGGGTTTCAACTAGTTGAATTACCTCTCTATTAATCCACGGAGGAAGTAACATAGTGTTTGAACATCAATCCCTTCAGCCAAGCTGGTCTCTCTGCAGTATCAGATTGTTGCAGTAAACTTAGAGCACTTGAAGCTTCAGGCTACACTTGTGGAAAACCTAGAGATCTCTTCTATTCAAACCAGAGTTATTGTCATTTCATACTCTACCTTCTTCTTGCCTATCTGAAAATAAAATTGTTTGATGAATGTTTCTCTCTGTACCTCAGCCAGGCCAGAGCACTGGTGGGCAGCTGGGAAATTCATCAGCATGAAACTAGACTACAAAAAGGTCTGGGTTTTTTTACTGCCATGAGTACCAAACTGGATTTTGGGGTGTGGACAGGAACTGTGTACAGCAGGAGCTTTTATTCCTCCCAAGGGAACTTTGTTGCCTTCATGCTTGCTGATCCCAGTGGTGTGAAGTTGGTCCTGAAGGGGGAGAAGGTCCCTTCTGTGCTGTGGTTTCCTCCATGATGTAACAGTAACTTCTGAAACAAAAGCTTGATGGAGAGTGACTGTTGATGTTAAAATATTCTTGTTTCCTCTAGCTTGTAAGCTGAATAAACTTGGGGTTTTTGTTACTAAAATGAGTGCTTCATTCTACTTGAACCAGGACACTGTGGTTTGGAAGGCAATGCTGTTGTTTATACTTATTTCCCAAATGGTGGTGGGACACTTTGACCATCAGAATGTGTTCCCAGAGCTTTTATTTTCTTCTGGATTGGCAGTAACACGTTTGTTCTAGAAGTTACTTACACCTTTGCAACATCTGTACTGAACTATGTGAACTGGGAAGCTTGACTTGCAGCTCAGGATACTCCTGGTTTCTTGGTTTGTATGAGGGATGGGTTTAAAATATTTGTACTTTAGCTGTTAATTGTTAATTATTATTTTTTTTGCTGTGTGCCACACGTGCAGGAATGACTTCCCACCCCAGCAGGATGATCACAAAACAAAGCCCAACACCCAGTAAGGTGTTCTGCCTACAGTGTTCTTAGATACTTGTGAAAAACGATTGTCTTACAACTACCCTGTGTGAAGCACGTCTCTGATTCCTGTCACCCTCCTGCCACTTCAGCCTTTCTCCTTTTGAAACTGTATCTAGCTGAGATAAATACACCGTTGCTCGAAGTTTCTTGAAGAGTTGGTCAGATTTCACCTATGGAGAGGGTTGTCTACACTAGTGCTCTAATCTAGAGTTCCTCTCTTGATGCTTTTTGAGGGGAAAAATGTACAGTGGAAAGGTGATGCCATCCTGTGGTGGCTGCTGTGTTGGAAAAAGCCCTTCTCACCTCTGTGTCCTTTTTCCTGCTCAGGGCTGGCCTTCCCGCTCCCCAACCCGGCAACTCTTACCCAGAACTCATCAAGTCCCCTTTAACTAGTTCCCAATCCGTGTCCCTTTCCTCCCTGCGGCCTGACGCGATACAACGCGGCAGGAAACCACCCAGAACCTGCTGTGCGGTGGGAGCCGGGGGGCTGGGGTAACCCGGGATGGGTTAAACCGGATGGGTTAAACTGGATGGGTTAACCCGGGGATGGGTTAAACGAGTGGGGGAGTCACTTTGTTCCTGGGGTGAGGGGGCGTGGCCTGTCTGGAGCCACGCCCCTTGCAGGCGGGCAGCCAATCGCCTGTCCCGGCGGTGAGTGTCCTTCCTCCCGCGTGGCCCCGCCCCGCTCCCAGGATGCACCGCGGCAGCCATGGCGGCGCTGCTGGGCCGGGCCGCGGCGCTGCTGAGCGGGGCCCAGCGGCTCCTCAGGTGCGGGAGCCCCGGGAGCGGGGCTGGGGGGGGGGTTCCCGGCCGTCTGAGGGGCTGCGGGGTCCCGTGAGGGGCTGTGGAGGTAACTGGGAGTGCCGTTTGTGCAGGGGCTGCGGCGTCGTTGGGCCGGTGGAGCGCGGTGCGTGCAGCGGGGCCGGCGCGGAGCAGCGACCCAAGAGGCCTCTGACCGCCTATTTCCGCTTCCTGAAGGAAAACCACGCTGCTTTCAGGCAAAACAACCCAGGTGTGGGGGCTGGAGGGCTTAGGGTTGCCTTGGCTTTGATTTCACAGGATCCCAGACTGGTTTGAGTTGGAAGGGACTTGGAAAAACCATCCAGTCCCACCCCCCTGCTTGGGCAGGGACACCTCCCCCCATTCCTGGCTGCTCCAAGCCCCACCCAGCCTGCCCTTTAGCCAGGGCTGGGGCTTCCACACCTTCCTGGGACAACCTGTTCCAGTGTCTCACCACCCTCACAGTGGATGTGCTTATTTCTTACCAAGAATCTCATTTGGAAAGAACCTGGTTTTGAACGTGGCCTTGTGATGAATGTTAACGTGGTGAAGGACATGAGGAAGATACTAGTGAGCAAAACCGTTTCAAAGCCTGCTTTGCTTGGTAGCTCAAGAGCTCAACAGGCTGAAAGGTTGAGAATAAACTGGAGTTTATTTTAGTTATGTGCTGCACTTTTGTTTCCAAAATGAACAATCTGCAAATCAATGTGCTCTCTCTTACATGCAAACTGAGATTTTGGGGCTCTCTTGCCCCAATAGAAAGAGTATTTTAAATAACCTAATTTTTTTTTTCCTTTCTCATTGGCAATGCATCGTATTTTCAAAGGTTTCAATATTGCTATATTTTGACTCAAAAGCAACTCCCCATCTGTCTTGTTTTTCTGGAATGGAGGTTGTTGATAAGAGCTTAGTTCTGCTTTTCTACTGTTGAGGTGGCTGAACTTTACACTGGAGGTGGGAGAGAAATTGTTCCATTTTCATCTTTAAGTGGAAGGGGGAAAACCTGTAAAGAATTTTTTGAGGAAAGAAAGCTTAGGTCCTCTTTTTTTTGTTATTTGGGGGGTTTTTTTAGGGCTGTTTTTTTCCCCCTCTTCACAAATTGAGGTCTCACTGGAAATCTCCAAGACCACAGGGCCAGGACCAGAGGGGAAGGCATTCAGCTGAAAAACTTAAGCAGATTCAATCCCCTGAAATTTTGTTTTGGGGAGGAGGAAATTCCTTTTTATTGATAACCTCCTGTTGGATACTATTGTGGGTGTTTTAATTTTAATTAAGATCAGACCTGGCTGCTGCATCAGGTGGGTAAAGGTCACATTGTACTTGCGTTGAAGAAGCCAGCAGGCTGGTTTCCCTCCAGGTTCAGTGCTTCTTGGGTTATATGGAAAATGATCCAGCTGACAAGAAATTAAACACTGTTTAATTGGATTAATTAACCTCCTTCTGTCTGGAAATGGTGCTTCTGCTTGTGACATGTTGCACTGAGTGTGAACCACAGCAGCCCTGCAAATGGTGCAGTTCCCTTCTACTGCCCCAGAAAGGCTGGTAGTTTTCTGAAAGGAAAACAATGTATTTGTAGAGGGAAAAGAATATAGTTACAGCTTTTCATGGGGGAAAGTGGAGAAGCTTCCTGAAGGTGCGGCTTTGATAATTTTTTTTGCTTCCATCCAGAAATGAGCAACACAGAGGTGGTGAAAAAAATAGCAGGTGCTTGGAAGGAGTTGCCAGCCTCACAGAAGCAAGTGAGTTTGTGTCTTTGAACTCTCTATAGAGTCTCTGTGGTTGTTTTGCTTAGTTTGTGTCCTCTGTGGGCTTTTTGTGTTGTTGATGGTGTTTTTTGAAACAGCAATAAAAGCATTTGGGTGCTGAAGTTCAGACATAAAAACAAGAGAGTTGAGAGGTTGTCAGGACTCAGGGGAAGATACTTTGATACTTTGACACAAGACCTTGGGTTTAAGTGTTTTTAATCTGTTGCCACAGACGCAGAAGAGTGAGACAGATCTGGCTGGGAGCCAAAATCTCATGTGTTTTTGAATAGTGATTGTGAGTGTGCATGACATGTCTGACAACATCACTATTGTACAGTTGTCCTGCTTTCGTTTGCACAAGCAAGGCAAAACCTCAGTTAATTCTGATGAAAGGACCAGCTCGGTTTTTTTGCCCTGCAGATTAGATAGTAACCAGAGACATAACTTGCAGGTAACTTCCTTCAACTTTCATCCAACCAACTTACTTTTTGTAGTTAAGTTCCTGTAGGGTTGTGAACCAGTTCTATGAATGGCTGATCTTTGCTGAATAGAAGTGACATTTATAGCAAGGCAATGATTGTTCTTCCCTGAGTGCAGTTAGTGGTTAGGAACTAGTTAGCTAGGCACTAATTGGAGTTTTCTAGCTGAAGTGATGTCTTGGTTCAACAGAATTCAAGTGTTCTTAAATCCTTTCTGGCTCCATGTGCCCTGGTACAAAATGCATTTCCATTTCTGCCTCTGCAGTGGGGATCAGGATGGGGATTTCCCAGGTCTACCCAGATGCTTGGCAGCCTGGCTCAGCTCCTCCTGTTTCCAAGGCCATGGTTTTGGGATGCTCCTATACCTGGTGTAGGAGTGTGTTCATGGAGCCTTGTGTGCTGCAGGGGGTACACACACTTTTGAAGAGTCATCATTTAAGTCAAGCTTCAGCTCTTCCTTCTTGGGTAGAGATTGTTGTTGCTTTCAGCTTCAGTTTGAAGATTGCTCTAATGTTACTGGATGACATGAGATAATTTATGGGAAGAGCCCAGGTTTTGAATCTTGAGTTCTGAACCCATTCTGCTACTGAAATTCCTGCTTCACCTGCAAATCTCAGGTTTCAGGGTTGTCTGTGATACGGTTTTTATTATTAACAGGTTAGAAGTGTGACCTTGTTTAATGGTCAGGTTCTTCTGAACTGCTTCAGGCTGGGGATTTGTTGGCATTGTAGGTTTATGAGGAAGCCAGGAAGACAGACTGGCAAAAGTATCAGCAGCAGTTGGCTGCATACAAAGCACAGCTGACCCCAGCCCAGGCTGCAGCTTTGAGAGAAGAAAAGAGAAAAAGACTGGCAAAAAGAAGATCATTCAGGGCAAAAAGAGTAAGTATTTTCAGCTTCAAGTTTCTTTTCTCTCGAGGAACCTGGAGTCTGTGTATTGAGCAGAGCTCAGGCAACTCTCAGAATAGAAAAACCCAAACAAACCAAACCCAACCAAAAAAAGCCCAACCAAAACCATTGACTAAGATAATTGCTGGTGTTGGCAGTTAATTAGGTGGCTTTCCTGGGGTTGAATACCAGAACTCGTGCATATCTTTGTGCTTACAGGTAGCTCCTCTCTGCTGGTTTTTTTTTTCTGTTCTTAAAGCTGCCCAAGGAGTGATAGGTAGTAAAAGACATTTGAAGCACCAGCACTTTATTTGGTTGGGAAGACATCTGGAAACAGCTTTTCATCTAGGCCTCTTACCTGTTACTTTACTCATCCCTACAAGGTAGTAGCTGCTTGAAGTAGCTTTGTTTTCCTTCCTTTGCTTTTTTTAAATCCTTCTGAAGAGAATAGGAAACCTAGTTTTGTGGCTTTCTTACTGAGTGGAATTTAGCAAGTCTTTGGTTTCTGGATAACTTTGCTAAACTAAAAATCAGTTTTTAAAAGCCTTTTTTCATGTCTGGAAATTCAAGATTTTACCTTTTCTTAATTGTGTTTAGCATGGGCAAGTGGTGAGAATAACCATCTTGAAACACCAAAATAGGAATTTTAGCCTGATGTTTGCATAAAATACTAAGACAAGTAGTAAATTTAGTGTTGGAAAAGTGCCTGTTTAGCACATTGAATAACTTTCCTTCTTGTTTTCAAAGGAATTGACTGTGCTTGGAAAGCCAAAAAGACCTCGGAGCGGCTTTAACATTTTTGTGTCGGAAAATTTTCAAGCAAGTGAGGGGATATCCCCTGTGGTAAGCCAGGACAGATGGCTCTCTGAAATAGAGGGGTTGTGTTCAGGGAATCTGCTGGGTTCTATGAGTTTCCAAGCAACTGTTCAGCAGTTCAGTCTCTGGGTTTTGCTTTGCTGAGGCTGTGGTCAACAGCTGCCTGGTGGCTGCTGAGGGGGGTGAACAGGCCTGAATATTTCTGCTATTTTTTTGGTTTATATTTGGGTTTGACTAGTGTGGCATTCATCTTTGCGGTCAGTCTGCTCTTAAAAATAAGCCTAATAATTATATCTTCTGTATCCTGTAGGCAAAGCTGAAGCAGTTGTTTGGTGCGTGGCAAAAAATGTCCAGTCCTCAAAAGCAGGTATGTCAGTGGCATTTGATGCTCTGATCTCATCAGAACATTAGAAACTTGGGGTGAAAATTAGTAAATTCGTACCAAATTCTGAACTGGGTTGTTAAAAGGAGAACAGTGAGCAAAACCAGTCTGAGATCTCATTTGTGTGTCTTGAAAAAAGGTGGCCATTGCCTTTCCTGGTGTCGAGGAAATGTGAGTGGGATAGGATGGGAGTTCCAGTTCTCTAGAGAGAAAGGAGAAATAATTTGCAACCTTTTGATTGATTTATTATTTTTTTCTGATCATGTGTAATATTTTTAAATGCCAGCACAGTAGTTTGCTGGCTTGTGGAAAGGTTTTTGACAGAAATGCACATGTGATGTGCAGACAGTCATTTATGAACATCACTCCCCTTCCTCCTGAAGGCCCTTTTTCCAGGCTGTTTTGAATCTGTACTTAGAACACACACCAAGTTCAAGATTTTTTTCTGGAGGAAAATAATTGGAAATAGTTCTGCAGGGTCAGTGCTGGGCCCAGTCTTATTCAACATCTTCATCAGTCACCTGGATGAGGGCATGGAGTGTGTCATCAGCAAGTTTGCTGATGACGTGAATCTGGGAGGACTGGCTGATCCACCTGAAGGCTGTGCAGCAATCCAGGGAGATCTGGGCAGGTTGGAGAGCTGGGCAAACAGGAGCCTCATGGGGTTCCACAAGAATAAGTGCAGCCTCCTGCACCAGTATAGACATGGGGTTGACCTGCTGGAAGGCAGCCCCACAGAGAAGGGGTCCTGGTGGACAGTGATCCATGGGACAGCAATCTGCTCTCGTGGCTAAGAGAGCCAACAGTATCTTGGGATGTATTAAGAACAGTGTGTCCAGCAGGTCAAGGGAGGTTCTTCTCCCTCTCTACTCTGCCCCAGTGAGACCACATCTGAAGTGTTGTGTCCAGTTCTGGGCTCCCCAGTTCAGGAGGGACAGGGATTTACCAGAGAGAGTCCAACAGAGACTATGAGGATGATGAAGGGACTGGAACACCTGCCTGATGAGGAAAGGCTGAGAGACCTGGGGCTGGTTAGTCTGGAGAAGACTGAGGGGGGATCTAATTAATGTCTACAAATATCTGCAGGGTGAGTGTCAGGAATGGGCCAGTCTGTTTTCAGTGGTCACCTGTGATAGGATGAGGGGAAACGGCACCAAGTGACAAGACAGGAAGTTCCACTTCAACATGAGGAGAAACTTCTTTGCTGTGAGGGTGACAGAGCCCTGGGACAGGCTGCCCAGAAAGTTTGTGTAGTCTCCTTCTCTGGATTCTTTCCAGTCCCACCTGGCCAGGTTCCTGTGTGATGTGCTCTGGGTGATCCTGCTGTAGCAGGGGGGTTGGACTGGATGATCTTCAGAGGTCCCTTCCCATCTCTATGTTTCTATGAAATACTTATTCCTGTTCCAGCCAGCTCTCAGACTAGTGCTCCAACAAAAAGCCTTGGCTGTTGGTAGGAACAGGGAATAAAATCCCTGTTGATCCATCCTTCTCTTCCAGCCCTACCTGCAGCTGGCTGAAGATGATAAGGTTCGGTATGAAAATGAAATCAAGTCGTGGGAAGCAAAAATGGTTGAGCTGGGACGTGAAGACCTGGTACGTTCCAAAGAGCAGAAGCCAAAAAAGCAAACTGCTGGAGCTGCCAAGAAAGCTGGAGCTGCCAAGAAAGCTGGAGCTGCCAAGAAAGCTGGAACTGCAAAGAAAGCTGGAGCAGCCAAAGGTTCCTCCCAAGAAAACAAGGCAAAATCAAAAGCGAAAAAATCGGAGGAATAAAACGGTCAAGTATTTTTACCTTTCCTGCCATTTGGTTGTCATGTCTTCATCCTGCTGTGCTGATGCTGCAGTCAGCATTGGCACTGCAATTAGGAGAGCCCTGTGGGGGCCCTTTGAAGGTGTAGGAGAAGGTGATGAGGTCAGAGAGGGTTTGGTGCCTCTCGGAATGGACTGAAACAATCATGGCAGGTGTAGCCTGAACTGTCCAATAACTGGTTAATCAAGCTGTGAATAATGACACTGACATCAGCAGAGCTCTGCAAATCATGGTAGGTAACAGCTGGCTTTTCTAAGGTGGTGTTTTTTTTTTCATGAAAGCAAGAATATTCTGCTGTTACCATTAAATTCTGTAAGTAAGAGCTGCCATCTGGGCGGGCGCTGCTGAGTTTTATTCCCTCCATGGTGTGGGCAGTGACGTGTTCTACATTTCAGCAGAAGGCACAGGCAAGATGTCAAATACTAACTTGTACTTTATGCATCTTTTTGTACCTACCAACCTGTGTATTCCACTTGTGCTGCATTTAATTAAAAGACCATACGAGTTTTGTACGAACATCTCTTTCTTGGCCTTCTTATCCCGTGGGTTTTGTTTGGATACGTGCAGACCCTTTGGCCTCCCTGTCACACTCAGGACAGCCTGGAATGAAAAGGCAAGGTGTGAACTGTGAGAACAGAGGGTTTTGATGCAATAAATACAGGTATTTTGAAGAGCTGCGTGGGTTTTATATTTATTTTTGTCCCCTGGGGGTGTGTGTTGTGGAAAATACGTATTTTTAGGAGCAAGCCCAGCTTTTCCAGGAGCTGCTGGTGTCGTCCAGCCTGACTGACCCACGAAGAACCAGCAGAGCTGCTTTTTGACCAGAGGAACATCTCCCTGCTGAGGAAAGGCTGAGGGAGCTGGGTCTGTTGGGCTTGGAGGAGACTGAGGGGCGACCTCATCAGTGGTTACAAATCTGTTCAGGGCAGTGTCAGGAAGATAGAGTTAAGCTTTGTTCAGTGATGACCAGTGACAGGACAAGGGGCAGTGGGTGCAAACTGGAGCAGAGGAGGCCCCATGTGAATGTCAGGAAGAACTTCTTTGCTGTGAAGTGACAGAGCCCGGGGACAGGCTGCCCAGAGAGGCTGTGGAGGCTCCTTCTCTGGAGACATTCCAACCCCCCTGGACACGTTCCTGTGTGATGTGCTCTGGGTGCCCCTGCTCTGGCAGGGGGGTTGGGCTGGGTGAGCTTTCCAGGTCCCTCCCAGCTCTTAGGGTTCTGTGATTCAAGCGAAAATGGGAGGAGTTTGGGGTGCTTCTTTTA